AACCTTCTTGTTTAAGTGTGTAGTCTATCTGGTGAACATCAGTTTCCAGAGTAAAACTGCTTCTAAAAACTGCTGCTTGCTCTTCCACCAGGACAATGATCTCAGTGATCTTAAGCCCTCCTGAAAAATTACTCATGGCCCACAATAAAAAACTGTTCCTGAGGGAGGGTCCAAAACAAGAACCAAATGTTGTTGATCCAGAGATGCATGAATGGCTGGTTTCCTCTTCAAATTCCTCCTCAAACTTGAAATTCTCTCACTTTAGTGTGTTATTATGTATATGTTATTATGTAAGTCTCTGAATTCACCAGAATATCAGGTTAGAGGAGATTATCCTAATTTATCATTATAATAATCTGAGTTTTTTATATCCAACATCCATAAAATTCAGTGGCAGTAAAATCTACTGATGGACAGAAATGTGGGTCAGTTCAAACATCTAATCACTGTTAACCTGGACAAAAAGAGCCACTCAGTAATGATTCTTTAAAGATCCATCCGTTAAAAGGTTCTTTAGGGAACCAAAATGACTCAAACAACAAAATCAAGGTTCTAAAGGGTTGTCGCAGCTCCGTAACTTGCAGGAGAATTCCACAGAATTTTCAAAAATCCAGCATAATTAAATAAAACATCCACCTCTAAAAGCTCCTCACAGAAAGTCATTATGTGAAATGGTTATAAATACACTGTTTATGTTTATTATAGTTTTGCAGTGTAATCTTCATATAAAGACTGATGTTTTAATGCTGTGTTGTTATGAGTCTCCTGAGTCACTCAGCTCACACACCAAAAGTCACGTATTTCCACTGAAACACAGCCGTCGTTTTGTCTGTTGTAACTATCTGATCTTATAAGAGGTCAGTGTTGTGAAATGAGTACTGTCACTGTCATATCTGTAGATGTTTAATCTGAGAGGTCACTGAATGTGTAACAGGTTATAGACAGACCATCAACTTCCTCAACAAGCCATTACAGACACACTGACACTATTCTGTACCTAGAGCTTCACTGGATTAGGGTTTGGTTAGGGTTCGGATAAGGATTAGGGCCAGAGTGAGGGTTAGGATTAGGTTTTAAATAAGTTGAGGTTAAAGTTAGGATTAGGGCCAGAGTGAGGGTTAGGATTAGGGCCAGAGTGAGGGTTAGGATTAGGGCCAGGGTGAGGGTTAGGATTAGGGCCAGGGTGAGGGTTAGGATTAGGTTTTAAGTAAGTTGAGGTTAAAGTTAGGACATAAAGTGTCACATAAGGTCTAATTCATGTAACATATGAACAATACATAAGTATCAACAACACATCTTCAAGACATTTTCTTCAATGTATTCAGTTGCTGCACCACTGCTACTTCACTGATGTGTTACTGATACTTTGTTAAGAGTTTATTAATCATCTACAAAAAACACCCCAAATAAATTGTCAAACTTCTAACTCTGCACTTGATGACCTCTATAAGATAAACTCTCTGGATGAGATATATATGGACCATTCTACTGAATTAGTTTAAACTTCAGTCTCACAGAAAAAAAAAAAAAAATTAAAAACATAAACCAGACTCAAGACATTTACAAGGAGTATGTTACTGTAACATCCGTTCACTCTTTGTCCTGGTCTTTCTGTTTTTTGCCTTTTTCTTGGTTTCCCAGTGCTGTGTTCTGTATGTCTGCCATGTGCCTTTGTTTTCTTGTGACATGTGCTTTTGTTGTCCTGTTGGCTCCTCCCCTGTCCTGCCCTGTCTTCATCTGTTTGTCTCCTTTGAGAAAAGTCTGTAAGAACAAAACTTTTACAATGTCTGGTGGGGTAGGACATTGTAAATACTGAAGGTAAAATCTGTGCTGCATAATAAAACCATCTTCTCCTTCCTTCATTGATGGCTACCCCTAGTGAGTATGATGGTGAAGATGGCACTTGTGAAGGTTTTATTATGCAGTGCAGATATTACCTCCAGTATTTACAATAGCCTACCCCACCAGACATTGTAAGAGTTTTGTTCTTACAGACTTTTCTCAAAGGCAAGGCCCTAGAGTGGGCCGATATTGTGCTCGAAAAAAGGGTTAGGAGACAAACAGGTGAAGACAGGGCAGGACAGGCGAGGAGCCAAAAGCACATGTCTCAAGAAAACAAAGGCACATGGCAGACATACAAAAACACAGCATTGGGAAACCAAGAAAAAGGCAAAAAACAGAAAGACCAGGACAAAGAGTGAACGGATGTTACAGTTATGAATTATTGAAAGGCATTAATACAGATAGTAATATGCTAAATATATGCTAAACCATCAATTATAGGGTACTTTCTATTGTGAGGTGTTTGTTCTAATCACTAAATTCCTGAATAGTGGTGGCCCCGCGGGAATCCACAGGAGTGCAGACCTCTACTTTGGAACTTGAGCAGTTCCTTCCCTTCTCTATACTCTTCTCTTCCCATCATTCTGGCACAAGTCCATCTTTGTCTCATCTGCCCATAAGATGTTGTTCCAGACGTGTGCAGGCATTTTTAGGTGTTTTTTGGCAAACGTAAGCCTAAATTTATGCAAGGCCGTGTTACATAGTAAGATCATATCATTTCGAGTTGAATACATCCAAGATATATGCTTACATGAGCTACTCCAGATCAAATGTGTCACACCCACCACATTACCCCTTATCAGTGCTCTACCTCCTCGGCCTTCTGTACCTACTCAAACGCCTCTCTGAGAGGTATTGCCACTCCATGCTGCAATTCCGAGCCATTTGCTTGTTCCTACTTTGCTGTCACTGTTTTTTTTTTTACCATCTTTTCATTTTTCTTTTCACCTTTTTGGATTAGTTTCACTCTTCACAAATCACTCTAGCAGCTCACATCGACAAAGGAAGCATAAGCATTGCAGTTCCATAGCACTTTTCTATATTGTAGCTGTGGTGCATTGGGAAACACACAAAGAGATCAGAAACACTCTTCAAGAAGAACCTACACCAGAGCAAACAGGTTTTTGTATCTCAGATTTTGGGATAGTCCACTATACTGGGCACACACCTCTTTGGCTACTGGCCATCTCTGGCAAGCACATATATTTTTATTTAGCAGTCTTTTTTATTTGGTTATGAAGGCCATTAACGGTTAGCCTAGTAATGCTGCAGACTCCACTGTCCAACCATTGACTAGTGGCTGAGGCGATGTACAAGGTAACTTGTTTCTAGAGACTGATGGCATCTCACAATGTAAATTTCAAGCCACATGGCTTCTGCTATCAGTGTCTGTGGTTTTGTTCTTGGTTTAACGTCCTTCAGTAACACATCCTGTTCTGAGAACACTGTCGTTTTTGGAGACTGACAAGCTGTTACAGAATTGTTTTCAATATCAGAGAAGAGTTTTGTGCTCTGCTTTTGTGCCTGAAGAGCCTAACATTAAATATGTGCTGCACTGAGCTCTAGGTGTGCAGAATAAACCAAAATTAAATGGTAACAATGAGGTGGATAGAAATGCATGAGAATTAAAAATAGTCACTAAAAATGCACCTGAATGGAAATTTTGAGTTGATTTGATTAAATCAACTTTTATTTGATTAAAACAGTATTGAATTGATAAAATTATAGAAATGTTTTGTTACTTGACTCTTTCATTGTTTAACTTAACTAAAAGCCAGCCAGAAGGTTCTGCCCACATTTCAGAGAACCTGCTGATGCTCCATTGCTGCTGTCTACATTAAAATGTCAGCACTGAACACTGAACACCAAAAACAATGGCAACTGTATTACAGTCTTTTAATGACAGCATGTCAGTAGCGTATGGCTGTATTTTAAGCTTGTTTTTTACTTTTCTAAATAAAATACAAAAGACATGGCACATGGATTACCATGAAAGATGTAAGTAGTGAACTACTCATGAAAAAAGTGTTCAAAGCACTATTAAACTTAATTTTAAAAATCTCAGCACCAAAACTAGCTCAGCAAACTAAAAAGGACTGCTAGCTTTAACTGAATTTAGACGACAACAGAAACCAATAACTGAGCTGAACAAGGTACAGAAAGACAGCAATGGTGATTGATAAGGCTGAAGTTGGCTTATTTGAATTTTCTGTTCCTCCTTAAATGATGCAGCAGTCAGGCAACGGAATGTAACTGCTGTGCCATTTAAGGTGGAACAGCAAATTTCAAAATTAAGCCGGTGAATAAGAAGTCAGCTTCAGCTCCTTTTGTTTTGCTACTGTGAGGAAAATCTTCAGTTTGCCTGGAAAGTTCATCCAGTAATACTGGAGTTTAAGTGCTGAGCTGTGCTTTACTGATGCTATTAATGCAAACTTGAATTGTGACGCGTCTCTTGTCTTCTGAAATAAAATAAGCCGAGCATAAACACAATAACAGACACTTAACGACGTGGCTGTATGTTAAATTTATGGCAGGAAACAAAGCCATTTACATGAAAGTTTATTTGACACCGCAAGGATACAAAAAGAGAAGAACAGTGTCTAATAAACTCCAGTTCCTATGATGACAGATGGCTGGACTAACATTTTCCACAGGAACTCAGTACTGCAATTTTTTTGACTTGATACTCTTTTATACTCACAGAAATTAAGGTACTAAACTGTCTCTGGCAGTACTCCTCTTGTCACTGGGGTGGTTCCCTCAATGGTACATCTCAGTCCCTTTAGTCAGGGAACATAATTGTACCATAATCCATTGAAACTATTTTTTTTTTTTTTAAGTTGTATTGGCTCCACACACCCCGTCTCGTCTCCAGGCTTTTGATTTTATTGCTCTGTTTTAAAATATTAGGTTATGAAAAGGTACAAATACGTACTTTTCACCTGGAAAAACTTATTTAAGATACACAATCAGACCTTAAAACCACTGTTGTACCTTTGAGGGAACATTTACATTGTTTGTACCTTGATGAACAAAAAATGTACCAGCACAGAATCTTTATTTCTAACAGTGTCTTGAAATTGTTTTTAATAGCTGCTCCAATCTCCACTGGAGTTTTCATTTTGCTGGAAAACAAAACTTGTGCTTTAACAGTTACATGATATGGTGTCAGTCTCGATTCTATATTTTTTTTTTATTCATTTCTTAAGGAAGTACACATGACCGCAAAATAGGGGTCAGAACGTGAATTATCCAGTTCATTTAGTGTGGTGGTCTGCATTGCTTCATGATATAAAACATTAGCTAATCAACTAAAGCAACTCAGGCTTTTACTATTTTAACAATTCACATTTCATGTTGCTCTTCTTGCCTACGCTTCTCAGTGTGTGAATACGTCCACAATCAGCAAGACTCTTCGGAATACCCACAGGAGGCAGAATTTTTTTAAACATTTCGTAAGGGGGTATTAGCACTTCATCCTCATTTGCATACTCTGATACTTGGGATATATGTGCACTGAAGCATGTATAGATGATAAAACAAGTCTTTTTTCCAAAGGTACTCAGGGTGGATTTCCGAGTAGAAGAAGCAAAACCACCAAATCGCACAAACATGCCTGGTATTGCAAAGTTATCTTTGCTGAATCGGTAAGTGGTTTGGCACATTCCCAGAGGATTAAGCGCCTGTATGGCGTCCGTTATGAGAAAGTGTAAAGAGATCAGGCCGAACTTCTGAGTCTTGTAGTCGTCTCTGCCATTGCGCATTTTACTGTTAAGCTGACTGTAGACTTCGTCTCTAGTGTAAACGTGAAGGGCTATTTTTCTCAAGTCATCCTTTGTCAGTTTAAACTCCGGGACCCCATTTAAACCAAAGTGTGCTTTGGTTTGTTGCCACGCTTTCCTGAACTTTCCATTGTCGTCCAGCTCAAGCTTCAGGTATTTAGACTTAACCAGTTTATACATTTCTTCCTTACAGCCTGCAAATTCATCATCAATGGATTTCAGAGACTCATCCATATAGATCTGAAAGAAATAAAAACCTGTGAGTCATCAAGTCAGCATGAACAGTAATGCTAATCAACAAGACATCAACCACAACTGTGCAACTTCAGTTTATGCCCAAACAGTGGCAGTGAATGACAGCCCAACCTCATTTCCAGGAACTTGGTTGATTTGCCATGGGGCCTGAAAAAAGTAGAAAGGTCAAATTAATGCCTAAAATGCATTAGCTCAATTAATACTGACTCCAAATTTAACTTGGCTATTAAATCCCTTACTAGCCAGAACACTCTTTCTTCACCATACTCCAGCTAGGTAACACTATAATGCTGTTATAATACATCTGGCATCGGGATGAATTTCAAGATCACTAATACAGCATTTAAAATCTCGTGGCTCAAAATTTTAGTGAGGTCCATTTTGCAGAAAAGTGACCTACATCTCATAGTAGAGTAAGAGTAAGCTAACTGCTGAGTATTACACACAATCCTTTAGAGATTTTTTTTTTAAAACCAAATCATTGCTCCTTTTTTTCCCATCTGTAACTATTATGCACTATTTCCTTTCATTTGTTTCTTCCTCATTCCTCCATTCTTCCGTTGCTTGTTTATTTTGCATCTCTGTCCTCACTGATTACTGATAAAAGCACACATTAAATATATATTATAAAAGGCGGGAGCTAATGAGACAAAATGCAGTCTAATATACCTGCTGATTTCTTAGCAACGTTAGCTACATGATGCTATACCATCACTATGCTAGTTAACATGTTGGAAGAAAACCTTGTATCTCCAAAATAAGAATTTTACAGGAAAAGGAAAAAAACCTACTTAACTTTTAATGTAAGTCAGTGGAACCAGAACTTTCCTAAGTCATTTTGGGCTGTTTTTCTGGTCTATTCTTCATGAAATTTGCACACAGTGTAATCACAATTTTCAAACCATGTCAAAAACTGCAAAATGACAAAAATGGAGATATGAGGTTTTCTTCTAACAGCAGTGATATGCTGGTTGTAGTGTGTTATGAGTAGGTAACACAATGCAGCTTTTATTTCTTATCTAACCATTAATATAGTCAACCACAGAGCCTGTAGTCTAAACTGAGCAGCTACTGGAGCTAGACTAAATCATGCAAAAATTAAACATAGCATACATTTTACAATCTTAATGTGTTTATTGCGCTAATAAACTCTCAGCTAGCTATATTTTTACCATAGTGATGTAATATGTTAGCCTTTAGCATGTGTGCTGCATACCTGAACATCTCTAGAAGTCAAAGTTAACATTAGTCTGGTTCTCTGGGCAGCACAGCATCTCATACCGAGATAAACAGAGCAGGCAGTTAAATCTAGGGCTCAGCCACAGTTTGCTAAGCAGTTATTGGAGGGTTGGCTATAATAGAGTGACAGCGCTCACAGAAAACAAATCAAATTTGATATCATATCATATCAAAAAATGACGCATTATAAATATTCGGGGTAGGTCTGTGACACCATGGCTGAGCCCCTGAGTAGACTGTATTATCATAATGGAGCTTCTGAAACGATCAAGGTCTGGACCTCAGTGTCCTCATAGCTAGTTACGGCCATGGCTGCAAACCCTGCAGCTGCTGTGTTCATCAGCTCGAAATTCTCAAGCTCAAGACAACAAAGTTAAGGCCTTTATTTTATTAATCATTTCATTCCATTCTTAGTTTTTTTCCTCCTGATTTGAAGGATGAATATGACTTTAGTTACCTTTTGGCCCATCATGCAGTTTGGACAGCTGCTCAAAGATGCACTTCTTATTACAGGACCCATGTGTATAGGAAGTATAATGACAAGAAAAATATGGTTCATTGCAGCTGCATGCAGCATCTTCATTGGTGACCTAAAATGAAAAAGTAACAGGTTAAATTGCTTTGTGATTTTAAACAAGTACAGGATGTACATCGCAAGCATGGTCATTGATTTGTTTCAAATTCCCCAGTCTACAATTAATATTCATTGCTCCAAAACAAAGTGATGTGTAGTAAATTTAATTATATTATTTTAAATAATAGATACAAAAACTAACTTTACAACAGCTAGCATTTACAATTTGATGTCTTACACATAGATATAATATCATTTAGTATGGTTGGAAAATATATTTGTTTCTTATAACAGAGAATTGTATTGAAATAACATTGTTTGCTATGATTCATCAGACTTTTGCAGCAGGTGTTAAACTGACCCTCTGTCTGTTGCAGTGAACCCACTCATGGGCTAAAATTTATTTTTTGGGTGGAATTGTACATAATTGGTAGGAGCTACAAATAAATGTAAAGTGTTTGTTTGTGGCAGAGATGTTTATGTTGCTTGCAACTTAGATAAAGTTATTCACTAAAAACCAAAATGTGTTAGGTTGTGCCCTGTTCTCCCCTAAACAGCACATCTCAAACTCCTGTTCATGCATTCTCCGTCTTTCTGTTCTTGTGAGTTTGTTCTTGCAAGGTAACTTTAGAACGCTCTCACCAAGAACACAAGTCTGTTACTCACATTCTTGATATTGAGAAACACCCAAGATCTCTGCTTCAAAATGATGACATCCACAGCTAAAGGACTGTTAACTGACTAATTTTGGCATATTTATGCCAACATATAGCACAGTTAGCATGTTGGCCGTGTTTTCTCTTCATGACTTTGTTTTCTGGTGCTAATAACTGCACTTTGTGGTGCTCCATGGGTGATAAATGAAACAGTGTGTCAGTAGCTGCTCTGATCCCTTTCATAATGTCTTCAATTATAATATATGGTATCTTCCCTGCTGAAAAAGGACCATTAGAAACTATTAAGATTGCTTTTTAATAGGAATTGGCTTAATAGTTTCCAATAGAGACCACAAGGTTCCTGTAGAACACCTTTAGATCCTATTAGGAAACCAACAAATGCATTTAGAATCAGCCATTGGTCTCCTGTTAAACCATTAGGATACTTTACATTGTGATACCACAATGTGATACATTACAAAGCTATTAGGAACAAACAGAAACACTTAAAGGTTTCTATGTTTTTTCAGCAGAGTAACAAAGTTTGTATTGATTTCATTCACATTGCATTATATGCATATTTTCCTACTTAGATATAATATCTAACTAACTAACTAAGATATTTGTTTAATAAATGTAAACGAAATATAAAATGTTTATATGTACCTTTTAGTCCAGTAGAAGCCCCTTCTGCACCATCAAACTCTCTGGGGTACTGATTAAACAGTCATGGTTTGATGTGTCTCAGACATTTGCATGAAAGTCGACATTAGAATTTGCATGAAATTCTCATGTCAGAGAGAGAGAGAGAGAGAGAGAGAGAGAAAGAAAGAGAGAGAGGTTTTTCATGCTTTTTAAACAAGACATCTTGAGAATAAAAAAGAAAACAGAAAAAGCACATTAGGTCTGGATTCTATTGTACTTCTTACTAGAATTTGGAGATAAGAGCAAACTGACCTTTGTAGTTTATTTAAGTTAACTAACATATTGCACTCATCACAACATTTATCTACCTAAAATATGAGCTTATTTATTAATGAATAAAAATTACTAGTACAGGTACATGCATACAGTATACAGTATTGGTCTGAAAGCAAACGGGTCAAATTCTCATTATATCCCATCGTAGGCCAGTACATTGTTAACTTCGCCATGTGTGAATTTTATATTGAGGGCAAAAAAAAGGTTTAAAATCAAAAAAACTAATACTTACTATTAGCATAATGCTGCTGTCCAAACAAAACCTTGTATCTTAATCAGTTCATTTTTCAGTTTTATTTGAAATGCCTGTTGATCTTTACATTGTGTGTAAATTTCATGATGAATGGATCAAAAGAAACAGCCCAAAATTACTTTGAAATATGTCTGGTTCCACTGTCTTACATTAAAAGTAAAGTAGGTTTTTTCCTTCTCCTGTAAAGTTCTCATTTTGGAGATATGAGGTTTTGTTCCAACAGCAGTGATAAGAATATCATAACACAAACTCAGATATTGTCAGTAAAGGATGTGGACAAACTGACACTGAAAGTAAGAAGTTTTAAAGAGAACTGAATTGTTTAAAGAATGCAGGGTAGAAAAATGTAAAGCTAGCAGTTTGTGGTGGGGGTGGAGCAGTACACTAATGTATGATTTAGTTATTAGATTATATTTACAGTTTTACAGATTCACAAGTACAGATCACGCATGATGAAATGGATTTAAGCCTAAAGGTGTAGATGAGTTGGATTCTTGGTGCAGCTTGCTGCTGAAGTTCCCCTTGAAGCTTAAAAATGAACAGATAACAGGAAGTGGGAGGCACTGGGTGGAGTTTACCAGCTCAAACTGACCAGTATATACATGGGTTGGTATTGGTGGAGAAATGTCCTCCTAAACATGATTACTCTTTGGTAAAATGACAGCAGCATTGGGCAGGTCTGGTGACAGAAACCCAGAAACCTTATTTTTTAAGTAAGTTTGTCTAAATTTGAAGAGTTTTATTCCAAAATGCTGTAAATCTATTTGTAACAATTTTGGATATAGTGAGTTTTTTAAAAGAATGACAGCTGATATATAATAGAGAACATACTTTTATTTCTCTAATAAAGGCGGTATTAATCATAATATAGATTTCCTTTTATGCATAAAGCTCACTCCCAACAACATATATCAAAAAAGAACATTCTTGAAAGTGGGGCATTTTGCAACAAAACCCTTCAACTTAACATTATAATCTCTTTTCATATCTGCCATAAAGTCAAAGTAGTAAGTCTTTCATGGCTTAAGAAATGATGGTGGACAGAAACATACAGTACTGGGTTTGAGTCAGTGTCAACACTTCTTTTACTTAATTTACATTAAAACTGAGATGTTCAGTATTATGTGGTTTCTGACACTGTATGATAAACTATTATCTATAAACATGGACTAAAGTACAGACCAAATTCACACAATCACAATCTAACACAACTTTTTTTTCGCTAAATAATTTTACAAATATTTGAGCATGATATTTTTATACAAGCAACTCACACATCTGAAATAATTCTACAAATTAAAATACTGACTTTGCTTTGAACATCAGCCATTTCTGAACAGTTCAGACAAAAGTGGTGTCAGTACAGATTACCCCCAAGTTGCAGGGAACTGTAAAAAACTGAGTTGAAACATTTGCTAGAAAAGTCTGGTAAAAATAATGAAAACAGAATTTATACAAATCAGTTCTACACTGTTTGTGCCAAATAACCTTTCTAACTTGAATACCTGAACATATATACATCAAAATAAATCTGATTAGTGAAAAGAGGCCGTGCCAAACCAGGCAAATATTAGCACAGTAAAACTGAAATATATGTTTTTTTCACAGATGTGGTACATTTTAGTTGAATGTGTGAATAAACACTTCCAAAAATGAACTGTTGTGAATGTATATGGGGGGATATGAAGTTCTCTAATTGTTTACTTTGGGGTCTTTGTGGAGTATTTTAGCCTGCCTAGCTCTTATTGTGAGATTAAAACAATGCTGTATTACAGCCACCAAGATGGAGATTAAAATATGAGTTTTAGGGCAAAACCTCTCACTCTGCACTCGCTGACCTCTGTAAGATGGACTCTCACTGGATGAGATATATAAGGACCATTCTACTGAATTAGTTCAAACTGCAGCCCCACAGAAAAAAAAACATTAAAATACATAAGCCAGACTCAAGATATTTACAAGGATTGTGTTATGATCTATTCAATGGCATTAATAGAGGCAGTAAAAAGCTAAATATATACTAAACCAACCTTCCGCCCAATGAGTGCTGGGATAGGCTCCAGCTCCCCCTGCGACCCAGAGTGTGTGTGTGTGTGAGTGTGTGTGTGTGTATGAGATCATCATTTATAGGGCACTTTCTGTTGGGAGGCATCTGTCTCAAACTCTAATCTCTAAATTACAACTCCTGAAAATAATATTTACATCTTTTTGTATTTTTCAATTTTTTTTTTGTTATTTAAGATTAAATTTATCATGAGTTACATTTTTAAATTTAAAAAACGTAATTTAAAAATGGATGTCTCACAGTTTCATTTCACTAATCAAACACATTTCTTATTTTAGCCACATACCTGCATTATAGGTAGGAAGAGAGGCTGTATCCCTGTCCCTCATGGCAACATGGTGAGCAGTTGTATCCTATTGTTTCAGGGAGGTGGGAAGTGGGGGTGCTGAAGGTGCTGCTGGACCCCCAGATTCAGAATTGAAGTTTTCAAAAATAATAATACTGATAATAATAATAATTTGAGCGTAGTAAAGACCCATGTGTGTTTTTTTTAGAGTGAATTTGGTATTTCATAAATGTCGTAAACATTACAGGTAGCCGAAAACTCAGTGTGGCAGTGTGGACCACATAATCAATCAGTGTGCCACATTTTATGAATTTTAAGTTATACACTGAAAGGGAATGGGTTTGACATACAAGAAATATTAGTGCTATATTATGAATAACAACACCTTTATTAGAGGAATAAAAATTCATTTTCCATTATATGCTATTCTTTTCAAAAACTCATTGTAGAAACATTAATATACAGCATTGTGGAGCGAAACTCTTTAAACATTTTTAATCATTGATGCCCCCCCATGTCTAAATCAGTACCACTCTTCAGTCCCCCATCCTTATATCGGTCTAGACAGGCCTCTGATTCACGAACAAAGGCTCTTCAGACAGGTTAGAATCCATTTCCTATTCTACCCAAACACATTGTTCAAAAATCAGAAAAAAAAGAAGCGGAGTAAATTACAGTCCAAACATTCAAAAAACCTTGACAGCATGCACTCTCAGAACAAAGGTACTAAACTATCACTTAGACCGGACCCCTCTTGTCACTGGGGTGGAACCCTCAAGGGTACATCTCAGTACCTTTAGTCAGGGAACATAACTGTACCATAATCCACTGAAATTATATTCTCCACACACTCCGTCTCGTCTCCAGGCTTTTTATTTTATTGTTCTGTTTAAAATGTTAGGTTATGAAAAAGGTACAAATACGAACTTTTAACCTGGAAAAACTTATTGAAGGTTCACAATCAGACCTTAAAACCACTGTTGTACCTTAATGAACAAAAAATGTACCTTTATTTCTAACAGTGTACAAAACTCCACAAAAATACCAAAGGGAGTCCAAAAGGGCAAAGTCCAAGCATCCAGATACAAGCCCAAGTAACCATAAGTCTAGATAATGTAGAGGATGACCAGCTCAGTAAGCAGACAAACTGACAACACTTCACAGACAGCATGTGAAGATGTGGGTCCTTTAAAGGGAGATGGATGAGCTGCAGGTGAACGTGATCAAGGCGTTACCAGGGAACAGTTCAAAACTCAGGTGAGGCTGACCTCTGGTGTCGACGGCGGATATTGCACCTAACACCCAGCTAGAGATTCTCAGATCTGTCTGCTGTAAATCACTTCATTTGTTCCTTCATATTTCAGTCTGATTTTATTCACACTGAGTCACCTTTCTGCCCGTGCAGGCTGGACAGCTGCTCACTGGTCTACTTCTCACTGCCGGAGCTGAGTGTACAGTGAGGATGATGAAGAGGAGTATCAGTGCAGCTGTGCACAGCGTCTTCATTGTAGATTTGAAGCGAACAGAAACAGGTGAGGTTGCTGTTATAAACAATTAAGGAGACAGTGTGAGGTGTGTATGACATTTTATCACTCATTTAAAATTTTAAACAAACACAGACACAAATGCACACAGATGCATGTGTGTTCGCAGATGCAAGTTTTCTGTAAATAAAGTAAAAAAGTTCAAATCATATTAAACATTCCCTACACGAGAACACAGTTTGGTTTAATAACCAGGTGTAACACACAGCTAACAGGCAAGTGCAACAATTTTCAGTAGCAGTTCATCTATTAGAATATTTTTTACATTAAATGGCCCATATCCTACACTTTCCATGCATTCTGTTTTTCTTCCTGAGGTTCCTTTACAACATTTGAGTGACTGAGAAGGTCATGAACCGTGACACTGTACACAGAATTAATCATTCACTAAATTCACTAAATAGACAGCAAATAAACAATTGCTCCATATTGTAATATATACATACTGATCTGAGTCTGCATTCAGGTGCTGAGCAGCTCTGCTCCTCATGCTGAGTGGTTCATTGGAGAAGCTCTTCAACTGAGTGATGTTACCCCACCAGAAAAACTCCTGTTTCCTCTAAAGCACTTTGCTTTAACTGATGTAACTATATG